TCGGCAGCTTCAGGCGCGTGCGGCCCGTCTCGTGGTTGTGCGAGATGATGATGCAGTAGTCGCCCGAGGCGCGTGCGATGGTGCCGCGGTCGCCGACCTTCGCCTCCACGTTGCAGACGATGCACCCCTCCGTGATCTGGCCGAGGGGCAGCACGTTGCCGATGGCAAGCGGCGCCTTCACGCCGCAGAGGACGGACTGGCCGGTGAACATGCCCTCCGGCGCCACCATCAGCTCCTTCGCGCGGCGGTACTTGTACGGGTGGCGGAACTCCACGCGGGCGAGCGGGGCGCCACGGCCCGGCTCGTGCTCAATCGTCTTGACCACGCCACGCATGAAGCCGTGGCGCTCGGCGTAGTCGAGAATGCGGAGCTTGGCGGGGCCCAGGCGCTTGTGGCCGTGCACCTGGTAGACGGACCCGTTGCCCTTACGGCAGGTCAGCACAGTCTTTCCCATGGCTGTTTCTCTGACTGTCTGTGTGCTCCCTGTGGGTGCGGAGGAAGCGAAAAGGAATTAAAAGAGAAAAACAGAGGAAGCAAAGGGAAGGAAACGTAGCAGTCGAAGAGGAATTGGGAGGACGAGGAAGAAGGGGGCTGGAAGGAACCGCCCAGGGTGGGCGTCGCGCGAAAGGGGTAAAAGGCCGAGCGTCCAGTGGGAAGGGGGGCAAAGAAGCCAAAGAAAATAGAGAGGGGCGTGGGGGAGGAGAGAGGCGGTGGTGGTGGTGGTGGTGGGACAAAACAGTTGCAGTGCACGTGAGCGGGCGGCCCACGCAGAACGAGGCCGTGAGCGACGGCCACGCCACGACAACTGGTGCGTGTGTGTGTGACTGGCGGCAGCTGCGCCGAGCGACGGCCCGGCGGAGCTCAAACGAAGCAGAAACGCACGGAAGCAGCAGAAAGGGGGAGGAGTACACCGACGCGCCGAGTGTCCAGCGTCGCTCCATAAACGTGACGAGTCCTCGCGCCCCCAGTCGCCTCTCCGCAGCCGCACACCCCACTGACGCAGACGCGTGCAGCGGCAAAGCATCCTGGCACAGCCTTTGCTCGGTTCATAGTTTCTCATACATGTAACTAAATAAATATATCCTCCTGCACACACCCCACCCGCCTAAAGAACCCCCCCGCACCCTCACTCACTCACTGCGCCGGCATTCATCCGATCCCCGCCTCTTTTTCTTCTTTTTTTCTTTTGTTTCTTTTCTAGCGACGGCCCTGTATTGCGTGACTCCTTCCTTCACCTTCCCCCCCCCACAACTGTGTCGCCGTGTGTTGTTGCTTTTGTTGTTGTTGTTTTTTTTTTTTTGCTTTTGCGTTTTTGCTTATTTTGCTCTTTTTTGGCTTTAATGGCGTTCTACCCGCGCCTGCCTTCCCCGCCTTCTCGGCGGCGGGGTCAGAACTCCATGTTCTCCAGCCCAAACTCCCTCAAGAAGGGTTTCACGTCCTGCTGCCACGAGAGCTCAACGAGGTCGGTGCGGTCCATGAGGTTCAGCGTCATGCGCAGGAGGTCCCAGAGGCCGCGGGTTGCCATGCGAGAGCCCTCGCCCTGCGGGTTTGTGCCTCCGGCCTGCAGAGCGATGGCCCGCGTGATTTCCTTCGCGGCGAGCGGGTACTGCGCCAAGTTGGAGTACGACACCGCCATGTTGTACATCGCGCGCACGTAGCCCGGGTTGATGTCAAGCGCCCGGTCGTACGCCTCGAGGGCCTCCTGCGGTTTGTTGCCGTTGGCGAGCGTCGCGCCGAGCCTGTTCCACATCTGCGGGTCTTCCGGGGTCAACTCGACGGCGCGGCGGAAGTTCGCGGCGGCCTCCTCAAAGCGGTGCGAGAGATTGTACAGCACCCCGAGACTGGCGTGCAGCTGCGGGTCGTTGGGGTTCATCTCCACCGCGGCGTTCAACAGGGTGCGGCAGTCGCGGTACTCGCTTGGGGCGGCGTAGAAGTAGCTGTCTTCTTCCATCGTGTCCTGCTCTCCGTCCGGCTCCTCCTCCTGCTGCAGCGGCACCGAGCCGAGTGACTCGTACTGCGGCTGGCACAGCAGCCAGGCACGCAGAGCCTGCAGCGCCGCCTGCACGTTGTGCTCGTTGGTGTGCGACACGGCAAGTGCCGCGTGAACGGCGATGTCGTTTGGATTCAGCATGCGGGCGTGGTTCAGCGCGATGATGGCAAGGCCGTCCTTCTCGTTCTCCGCCTGTGTCTTGCCAAGCAGCCGCCAGGCCTCGACGTGTTCCGGCTCCTTTTGGCACACCGCCTCAAAGGCAAGCGCGGCCTCCGCCAGGTTTGCCAGTTGCAGCATGGCGAGCCCCTCCTCCATCGGCGCGTCGTGGTACATGTACGGGTTGTTGGGCTCAAAGGGGTAGTCCGTGTTGTTCTGGGCGCGCTCGATGCGCTCCTGCATCTCCGCGTACTCCTGCGCCCACTCTTCCAGGTCGGCGGCGGGGTCGGAGGCGAATTCGTCCATCATGGCCTCCTCGCTGCCGTCGTGCGGGCGACCCTCCTGCTGCTGGCCGGGTCCCTGCTGGCGCTGCGTCATCGGCTCAAAGACGCCCGGCGGGAGCCCCAGCGCCTCCGCGGTGGCCCACTCCTTCAGGTACGCCGTGTCCTCGGGCACGTCCGGGTCTGGCCCGGGGCCCTGCACCACCTGCCCCGTCTCCTCGTCGATGAGCAGCTCCTTTGTGCGGATCTGGTCCATAAACTTGTAGAACTCCGAGTTGCGGGCGTGCTCCTCCATCGTTTGCTGCGACTGACCCTCGAGGGTAAAGACCTGCGCCTCACTGTAGTCCTGCCCCCACTCCGCGCCCCGCAACTTTTCAACCCACGCACTGTCGCCCTGCTGCTGCTGCTGCTGCTCTGTTGTGGTGCTTTCTGCGGTGGCCTCCTGCGCCTTCGCCGCGTTGGTTGCACTCGCCGTGGCGACTGCGTTTCCCGCGAATGCCGTTGGGGCGTACGCCATCGTCGGCGGCGCTGCGCCCATGAAGGCGCCCATTCCAGCCCCGTGCATCATCGGTCCCATCATGTGGGGCCCCATCAGCGCCGGCTGAAACATCCCAGGCGCGTGAAGGTGATGATGCGGAAGTGGCTGCTGCTGAGGGTGCGTCGCGGAGACGGCACGGAACGCCTCCTCCATCTCCTGCTGCTGCCGAAGCATGAAGTTCTCATTCTGCTGACGCTGCACTGCCATCTGCTGTGGGTGGTGGTGGTGGTGGTGGTGCTGCTGCTGCTGCGCGGCGAACTGATGCCCCCAGTCGCCCGCGTGCCCCGTCGGCGACTGATCCCGCAGCATCTCGCTCATGAGGGCGTCCTGCTCGGGGTTGCCGGTGGGGCCCACCCCGACGCCGCCGTGCATGTGAAATGCATCCTTCGCGAGCTGCTGCCCCAGCGCCGCGCCGGTGCCGCAGTTCATCCCCCGCCGCTGTGTGTGTGTGTGTGTGTGCTGTGCTTGTGTCCTCGCCGCCTTGCCTCACCCGGGGGCGCACGCCAGCCGCGGCCGTCAGCCAAAAATAAAAATAAAAATAAAAAACACCGACGACGCGCCGAACGTGAAGACGCGCAACTGAGACGAGCCCGCCGTAAAAGATCTCGCCCTTCCCCGCCGCTGCTCCTCTTTAAAGTATCGCCTACCTCCTTACCTCTCGCTTCGCGTGGTGCCGCCCCGCAGTCCTCCCGCTAGTGGCAGTGGACGGAGGTGTGGGGGTTGCTGCTCTCCCTGCTTCGCTGCTGCCTGCTAGATTTGGCTCCGCCGCCGCACGCAGGAGCGGGCGACAACAGCACGCAAAGGCAGCGCCAGAAGAAGCCCAAGCAGGGAAAAGCAAATAAACGGGGGAAAAGAAAAAGAGAAGGAAGAAAAAAGAAAGGAACAGCTCGCAATACAAATGGCACGCCCTGCATGCACCCCAACTGCCATGCCGTCACGCACGGGGCAGGAGAAACACGCCGTGGTGAGGCCCACACCCACACACGGACGCGCACGCGCAGTAGGAAAGAGGGGGACTGCATGCGCTTCGTAACGTGGAGGGAATGAAGGGAAAAAACAACTTGCTGTGGTCCCCCACCATCGCCTCGCCACCTCCATTTCCAAAAATATAAATAAATAAATTACCAAATCACTGAACCCTTTGGCTGCAACGCCCACGCAAAGAGGCGCACACAGACACGCACGCGCTTAGTCTCGCGCATAGCTGTGTGTGGACGCACCCTCTCCCCCCCCCCCCATCCCCACGCTCTCATCCTCCTCCTCAGCCTTCTTTTTCCGTGCTTTCCCTTCAGATCCAATTACATTTGCGTTCAATCCGCTGCGCATATACGCCGCGTATAATGTTACTCATCACGAATAAGCTTTTATTTCCGTTCTTTTTTTTCTTTCTTTTTGGTTTCTGTGTGGTTCACTCCATCTGCCTAGAAAAATTGGTGCCCACATGCCCCCTAAATTCACCAAACTTCTACTGGTTTGCCAGGTAAGGTTAAGGTCCCCGCCGCATTAGATGTCATGGAAGCATTTGCTTTGACCCTAAGTGCCCTCGTCTTTCCCGTTTTCACTTTGCTTTTTTACTCTTCTTCTCTCGCTCATTTCGTCCTAGTGCATCGTTTTCTGCACTGAATATGTTGGGTGGTAGGGGGGAGAAAATCGTTCTCTGC